GATGCTGACTCAGGTGGCCCTGTGACCTGCGGCAAAGACATCCTTTCTGAGTGGACCTGAACTGGTATGGACTCCCGGGACCCACATGTCTGCTTCCAGGAGGCACAGGGCCTCGGCCTCCCAGCCTGGACTGGAGCAGACTGTGGTGTTTCCCCAGACTTTTATTGAAGGACAGGAGAGGGGTGTGGCCAGTGTCAGAGGCATGCCTGCTGGGGCACACCTTTTCTCAGGAGGCCAGCCTCAGGTCCCCGGGAGCTCTGCTTCTCCACTTGCCATTGCTCTCCCCTCACCATCCCTGGGGACTGCCCTTGGAGACTGGGATGAACCAGGAAGGGAGTGGATGTGGAATGGGAATGGCCCTGCGGGGGCTCCCGTCCCAGCTGGGCAGACCACAGGCCACAGACACAGCCAGATATTGGACGTCTCACTTCTCTGACCTTCTCTCCCACATTTAATTCTATAAGGATGTATCTGGTGTGTTCGTTGTAGCATCTTCGCTGCAAGCATTTTTGCCCGAAACATTTCCAATGCATAACTAACTGGCCAGAAGGCAATTTTGCTGTGAAAGGGATAAAATAACTGTTTGACAGTTTGGGGTATTTTTGTATTTGTTTGTTTGTTTTCATTTTTCCATTGACAAACCAATCACCTTCAGCAGACTTCATACATTTAAGCTAGTTGTCATTCTGGTTTCATTTCTCCATTCATAAAGTTCTTGCAGTACTCCCATTTTTAAATTGCATATAAATCTTAGCTAGTTTCCATTGTGGTTTATTCGGTGACGAGTAGACGGATGCTGGTCTTATAATAGTTAGCATTTCAGCCCTAGCTGGTTTGGCTCAGTGGATAGAGCGTTGGCCTGCGGACTGAAGGGTCTCTGGTTCAATTCCGGTCAAGAGCACCTGCCTGAGTTGTGGGCTTGATCCCCAGTAGGGGGCGTGCAGGAGGCAGCCAATCAATGATTCTCAATCGTCATTGATGTTTCTCTCTCTCCATCCCCCTTCCTCTCTGAAGTCAATAAAAATATATTTTAAAAAGTAGTTAGCATTTCTTCCAGATGACGATGATTGGCCCCCAAAGTTGGTTTCTTACTTTGAAAGACACCACCTTGGGAGCAGAAAGAGAGGCCAAGGTCCCGCTTTGAAGGCGCAGAGTGGAACCCACATTTCCCACAGAACTAAGCCAAGTAGTTACGTACAACCACAAAATAAAATCAGTGACCTGTGCAGTACTGCCACGAGGCCGCACCCTTTTAAAATGTACTCGAATACCTTGTATTTTGCAATAAAGTCTTTTATTTTTTCCATCACCATGTATCCTCTCTGCCCTTTAGTCTCCTTCTTTTTAATGGCAGAATTGCCTTATAGCCAATCAGGTATGTGGCGAAAATGTTTGCGGCCAAAATGCTTGCAGCGAAGATGCTACTGGGAAAGTAAGAACGCCCAGGGGGTTCCCTCCTTTGCCACTTCCTGCTGCAGCTCCCCACCACCTCCCCAGGAATCCCCTCAGGGCCGCTACTGCCTCCTCCTATCTGAAATGCCTGCTTATCTTCCCCAAACACTCTCTCTAGCTGTCACTCCCTGTTTCCACGGACAGGGGAGTTCCTGGGCCCAGAGTTAAACTCATCAGCCTGGGTTTCGGGGTACCTCTCCCCACACAAGACTCCACTCTGTATATCTCAGTCTCCACCCCAAGATCCCCCAGCTTCTCCTCAGCTTGTGTGCTCCATCTCCAGGTCTTCGCTTAGAGCAGGAGCCCTCCAACTGTGGTCCGCATTCCAGCCGTGTCAGCGTGACCTGGGAACTTGTTAGGCATGAAAATGTTTGGTCTCCACCTCAGACCGATTGAGTCAGAAGCTCTGGGAGTGGGGCCACAGTCAGTTTCCACAGCCCTTCAGGTGACTCTGATGCACACTCAAGCGTTACAGCTGATGGCTTAGACATTCTCCGTGCCTTGCTCAAACCCCAGCTTTCAGATTACCAAACCCTTCTACCCCTGCCCAGAGAGACTGCTCAGGCTCTCCGTTTGAAACAGTTGCCATGGGAGTATTTCTGTTTTCCCCAGGTGCACTATATTCCGAGATAGGAAATGGGTGTCGGACTGTCCATCCCCATGTGCCCAGTTCAGTGTTCTATGCCCAAAGGACACCCTATGAATGGTATGAGTGACTCCTTCTCACTAATTCTGCTTTCCCAAGGGCCCCCGTGTCCCAGCTCTAGTGAACTCACCTCAGTCTCTCCCTGGCCCTCTTCCTCCTCAGAACCCTCTCTGCCCTCCACCATCACCGAGGTGTTTATGACATTTCACTCCTTTCCCAGGGCCCCAGCTCTGGTAGCTCTCTACTTCTTGCTTCCCTGTGCAATAGACAAAGCCATTCACACCTGCTGGGCCACTCCTACAGCCCCTCATCCTCCCATTCAGCCTGCCACAGGGGTAGGGGTGGAGCTGGGAGGGCAGCCTCCTCAACTCTGCCCACCTCCATCCAGCTTTCTCTCCTCTGGGTCAGCTGGGCTACTGTATCTGGTGAGACAGGTGTGCCAGGCACAGGGAAGCAGGCTGAGGAGGTGAGTGCGGGCTAAGATCCAGCCCACGTTCTGTGCCCCAGGCCACTCACCCTGGTTTGGGGTGGTGTCAGTCTGGAGGAAAAGGATGCCTGTTTAGAATTTGTACAAAGATGCTCAGTGGGTTAGCAGCAGCCCTGAGTGTACCACCTGTCTGTCGGTCCTCTTACCTATCCATTAGCTGTTTCCCTGTCTGCTTCTATGTTCCCATCCAATCCACATAAGTCCATCCTTCTGTCCATCCATCCACCCATGAGCAGATGTGAAGGTCAAACACAACAGGCTGGTCAGTTCACGCTCCCTGCCCTCCATTCTCTTGATATCAGGATGCCTCCTTCCACATTGGATCCTGGACTCGAGATTCTGAGGGGCCCTTCCAGCCTTAGCACGTCCCCAGGCACCTCACCAGACTCCTCCACCTCCACTATCCAGCGCCCTAGGTACCTGTGTCTGATCCTGCCACAGGGGTCTGCAAAGCTGGTCACACCTTAGACTCACTCTCTGGCGGGGGCAGGCAGCCATTCTTCCCCTTGTCAGGCCCAGCCTCTCCCTCTACCTCCTCCCCTGCCCCCTCCCTTGCCCCCTCTTCCTCCACTCTCTCATCCAGCCGGCTGGGTATAGACCAGTAGAGATGGGCATCAAGGCGGGCCTCTGCCTCGGCCAGCTCTCGGGCACTGCATGAGGGTGTGGGCACCTCAAAAGTCTGGTGGAAGCTGGCATAGTCCACCTCGTAGAAGCCGTCCTCCAGGGTCAGCACTGATGTGAAGCGGTGGCCCCACAGCACCTCGTCCACCAGGTAGGAGCTCCGAGCTTGGCATGTCATTCCTGGGGGGAAGGGCATGGGTCAGAGGGATCCCAGCCCCAGGCTTCTCTCTCCTGCCTCTCACTCCATGACCTGATTCCCAACACCTTGCCTCATATCCCTCCCCAAGGGCCCCACCCCCTTTTGGCCCAGCCCACTTTTCTCCCTTTCCCAACTCCTGAACTTGCTCAGTTCTCTCATCTCTCGTCCATTTGTACGGCCCCTCTTCATCTCCAACCCGCTCTCTCTTCCTGCTTCTCCACTGGAGATGCCAATCAGAGAAGCTTAACCTTAAAATTGACCTTGGGGATCATCTAGTCCAACGTCCCTCTCCATATAGGGCTTCCCACTGGAGCATTCCCAACTGTGGGCATCTGGCTTGCACTCAATTACCTCCCAGAATCGAGAGCTCACCACCTCGCAAGGTGCCCGCTCCTTTGCGCGATGGATGTAATAGTTGAGCTAAAATCTGCCTCCCCGGATTGCCACCCTTTGGTTTCATTCCTCCCATATGACACCCCTTCAAGTATCTGAAAGAGGTTCCATCTCATCTTCTCTTCTTCAGGCTGAACACTGCTCATGTGACCTGGGTTTCCAAAATTTTACTTTCTTGACTGTAAACCAGAATGGCCAAGGAGGATCCATTAAGCACTCTCTGATAAGGAGTCCAATTGAGGCCTGATTCTTGCATGAGAGAGGGCTTCGCACTGCTCTCTTCTGGCCATGATGCTCTAGAGCAGTGGTTCTCAACCTTCCTAATGCCGCGATCCTTTAATACAGTTCCTCATGTTGTGGTGACCCCCAATTTCATTGTTACAAATTGAACATAATTAAAGCATAGTGATTAATCACAAAAACAATATGTAATTATATATGTTTTCCAATGGTCTTAGGTGACCCCTGTGAAAGGGTCGCGACCCACCGGTTGAGAACCGCTGCGAGTCTAGCCAATAGGGCCCAAGATTACATAAATGTGTTGGAAGCTGGATCACACTGCTCTGACATTAAGCCTGTGGCCAACTCAAACCCCCAGTTCTTTTTCACCAGAGCTCTTCCATGCTGTGCTTACATAAGTGATTTTTTTAAAAGTCTAAATGTAGACTTTTATATTTACTCCTTTTAAATGTCATCTTGTTGGATTTGGGCTCATTATTCTTGCTTTTCAAAAGCATTTTGGATCCTGACTCTCACACTCAAAATAATACCATCCTTTCTAGTTTTGCCGCTCCAGAAGTCAGACAAGCTCCATCCCTATCTTCTCCACCCCGCCCTCCTGGCCCTGGGCCTGTGTCCGGTCCTCCCTCTTGGGTGGGCACACCCCTAGGGCAAGTGGTTCTCCTCCCCCGGGGTCTCTCCTTTCCACCTCAGCCCACGCGCACCTCAGAACAAGGGGGGACAGGGTGAACACCAGCTAACCAGACTGGCTCTCACCAGGGCAAGCCCCACACGGAGACACCTCAGGGTCACTGGCAGCCTTCCTCCCTTGATGAAGGCGGGGATAGGAAGCTTCCAGTGAGGGAGAAGAAGAGGCCAAAGGGACCCTGGGGACAGGGGGCTGAGATGAAGAGAGGGAGGGGCTGGGTACACAGGGAGAAGAGGGATGGGCAGGAACATCCTTGTAGGGGAGGGGCTGCCTCAGGTACTGGCAAAACAGAGCTGGAGGGATAGAGAGAAAAGGGGGTGGGGTGAATGGGGAGGGAGAGAGCTAGGGGAGCCCCGGGGGTGGTTAAGAAGAAAAGGGGAACACGAGGCAGAGGGTGTGGGCAGAGGATCAGCTTGAAGGGGCCAGGAAGAGGCTTGTGGGAGAAGCTGGCAGAGTGCAAAAGCTCTGACAACAGTGGCGGGAACCACGTGGGCCTTCAGCCATCCACCTGCAGTTCTCGAAGCCACCTCCCGCTCCGAGACCTCAAGCCCCGAAGGACCTCACCGCTGCGGGCGCTGACCTCCTACCTTCCTCCAGGGCCTTCACTGTATAGGCCTGAGTTGGAGGCACTGACATCACAGGGCGCTGCCCGTCCTCCCGGGAGCCACTAGAAATGCTAAGAGCATCTATTTCCTTTGTCAGTGGAAGTTGAGACTCTTTGGATGGATGGGGAAACGGAGGCAGAAGTGAGACCAGGTGTCAACCTCTCGTTAAAGGCCAGCCTGGGTCAGCCTAACTCAGGTCAGGGAACACCCTCACCACCAAATTCCAGGGGCCTGGGCGAGACTCTCAGAACCGCCCCCTTCCAACCTGTAGCACTAAATACGGAGGCCAGACTGCCTGCCCCCTCCAGGCGTGGCCACTGAATAGCCTGTGGCTGCAGACAACTTGCTTAACCCTCCGTTGGGCAATCTCCTCTGAAACACGAGCACAATAACAAGTTCCCTTGGAGAGGTGCTCGTTAAGATTGAATGAACTCGGAGGTGTCAGGTGCGTGGGAGCCACAGGACAGAGAAGCGCTGATCACAGCTCTCTCCCTGTTCCCACGGGCAGGCCTCTCCGCCGGGGCCCAGGCCAGGGCCGCTTCGGGGATCTCCCGACTTTCCCTGGCTTCTCGTTGGGGTCACTCTGCTTACATGCCCTGCCCAACCGAGGTCCCCCGCCTCATCGTATTCTCACCCTTCACTAGCCTCTTGGTCTACTCTAACCCCTCCCGGGCCCGCCCCGCCCGCCTCCTGCCCGCGCACCCGTGGCTTCCACCATGCCCTCGAGGATCACCACGATCTCGAAGTCGTCCCTTTCCAGGGCGCGGCGCGACGCCTCCCAGAAGGGGCTGGCGGCGTCGATCTCGTGGCTGATGACGAGCGGCGAGACCAGGAAGAGGCGGTCGTCGCCCGTGTCGAAGCCCACGCTCAGGTCGGTCTGGTGCAGCGGGATGAACTCGCCCTCCTGCGTCTGGCGCGAGCGGATGAGCTTGGCGCGGATGGAGGCCTCCACGATGTGCGAGGAGCGCAGGTCGCCCACGCGGAACATGAGGCAGAGGCGGCCGTCGCGCAGGGACACCACGGCGTGCGACGAGAAGACGAGCGTGGCGGCGCGCTTGTTGGGCTGCGAGATCTTGACGAACATGCAGCCCACCATGAAGGCGTTCACCATGGAGCCCAGGATGGCCTGCAGCAGCAGCAGCACGATGCCCTCGGGGCACTGGTCGGTGATGACGCGGTGCCCGTAGCCGATGGTGGTCTCCGTCTCGATGGAGAAGAGGAAGGCGGCCACGAAGCCGTTGAGGTTGTTGACGCAGGGCGTCCAGGCCGCGTCCTCCAGGTGCTCCAGGTCGCCGCGGCCGTAGGCGATGAGCCACCAGATGGCGCCGAAGAAGAGCCAGGTGAGCGCGTAGGCCAGCACGAAGAAGAGCAGGCTGAGGCGCCACTGCAGGTCCACCAGCGTGGTGAACAGGTCGGTCAGGTAGCGGTACGTCTCGCCCGCGTGGCCCTGCTGCACGTTGCACCGCCCGTCCTTCTCCACGTAGCGCTGGCGGCCGCGCCGTCGGGGCGGCTCCTCGGGGCCCGGCGAGAAGGCGGCGTTCTCCTGCGCCATGGCCCCCGCAGCGTAGGGGTCGGGGTCCGGGTCAGCGCCCCAACGCGCGCCGCCGGGGTCCGCACCGCCGCCGTCCGCCGCCTCTCGGTAACGTCGCGGCTCCTGCAGGCACTTAAAGATGGACCGAGTTAACCGGGCCACGGAGAGGCAGCGACAGCCGGGGCTGGGTGCCCAGAGGGAAGCCCTCCTGCCTGTATTTTCCTCCCCTCCCCTCCCCTCATTTTCCTTCCTTCCTCCCTCCCTCCCTTCCTCCCTTCCTTCCTTCCTTCCTTCCTTCCTTCCTTCCTTCCTTCCTTCCTTCCTTCCCTCCTTCCAAAATATATTTTTATTGATTTCAGATGAAGGGAGAGAGAGAGAGACAGAGAGAGAGAGAGAGAGAGAGAGAGACATCAATGATGAGAGACATTGATCAGCTGCCTCCTGCACACCCCCTACTGGAGATGGAGCTGGAAACCCAGGCATGTGCCCTGATGGAGGGTGGGGGGAGGGACGGACCATGACCTTCTGGTTGGAACCATGACCTTCTGATTCATAGGTTGACACTCAACCACTGAGCCACGCTGGCCTGGCCCTTCCTGCTTCTTGGCCTCAGTCTCCACATCAGTAGAATGGGACAATACATACAACCCTCGCTGCTCCCCCAGCTCACAGAATCATGAGGATCAAATGGGACGGCACTATCCAAGTGTGATGATTATTTCCAGGGGAAGGCGGTGCTGAGATCATGGCCCTCCACCTCTGACCAGGGTGTGCAGCACTCCAGGGCCTCCCAGGGCGAAAGCCCAGGCAGGGGAGCAGATTCCTAGTATCATTAGCCCGTGGCCTCCCTGGGGGCAGCCGGTTAATCTTCCTCTCCAGCAGCAATTTTCAACCTTTTTCATCCCGTGGCACACAGAAGCTAATTACTAAAATTCTGCGGCACACCAGAATTTTTTTCTGACAGAAAAATAGGTATAGTTTTGACTCATTCACACCAGATGGCTATTGTTGGGTTGGCTGTTGTAATTTTTTAATTGGACAATCTAAGGAAAAGAGGTCAGTGCTCCTGAGTACATAGTTGAATGTTGCATCTTAAGAATGCGGCGTGCCCTGGCATCTGGGTTGGAAACCGCTGCTCTGCTGCACCCCCTCCCTAGCTGTTGTCAGGCCAGTGCCCTAATCTGTCCCCACAATTCACCCTGATGGTCTAACCATACCCAGGTCTTCTGAAGTTCACCTCAAGACCGACACAGGAAGTCCTGCCAGTTCCTGCCTCCCTGGACCTCACTCACGCGCTCCACCCCACCCACATCTTATCCTCTCAACAAGCGTACAAAGGAGGAAGGGAAGTGGCGGGGAGTAGGGGGCAGTCTCCAGGGCAAGGGCTGAAAACCCCCACAGTAGGAAGTCCCCGCTGGAAACCTCCCTGAGCACTAACCACGCCCATTGTTTTCCCCGGGTTCTTTCCACAGTGGGGACAGCCTGGAACGGGCCGAGGACCCAAGGACATGCCGTGTCCGAACAGATGCTGGGGCAGAGGGAGCACCAAGCTCACCGGGAGTTAGGCTTCATCCCTCTGCTCTCCTGTTCTCCGTGAGATGTAACCAATCAGGGCCGGTGAACACTAAGCACCCACATTTACTCCCCGCCCCCTCCAGTTCTTTCCCACAACACCCTGCCTCCCACTGACTGTCCTCACTGACTCCCCCCTCCTCCCCGCTCCAAAGCTCACATTCCACCTGACTTTGCCTCAAATTCTTGCTCTGGAAGGAGCTCTCTGAGCTGTAATCTGCCCTGAGAGAGAGGTCCGGGGCCCTCCCCCCGGCACCCAGGGCCCCTAGGAGATGTGAACCACACAAGGAAAGGCCTAGAATGAGGATTGGAGACTTTTCAATCGGCCTTTCTTCCCGGGATCATCCTTTGCCCCCACTTCAAGGAAACCTGAGCTGCCTGGGGTGGGTTTGGAGGGGAGAATGTGGCATGAGGATCACAGGTGGCCTGCATGTTTGAGGAGAAACAGCCTGGATATGTAACCCCAAACCCAGCGCTCCAGAATTTAAGGTCTGGAGTGAGGTACTCTGCAGCTGGACCTCTGGAGGCCGTGAGTGAGTGTGTGTGTGTGTGTGTGTGTGTGTGTGTGTGTGTTGGCACAAGAGGAGAAACCAACACAAGGTGTCTTAGAGCTTAGCGAACCCCCAATTTTATTTTCCAGGAGGAGTCAGGGGACACAGGGTCTAGGAGCCCCAATGCAATGGCAGATTAGGGTCTTCCCCTCCCCCAACAATGGGCTTCCCTTCCCATCCCTCAGCCCAGGATGCCCCCAGGAAGTGGTCTCTAAGCCCTGGCGGCTCACAGACCCCAGCGCATACAGACAAGTACGGGAGCCCCACTCATTCCAGCTTCAGGGGGACGGCCACGTGTTCTCTCAGGTCATCTGACCCCCAGCTGGCCTGCTGGGACCGACCTCTCAGCCCAGGGATGGGGAAGGAGCCCCAGAGTGATCCCCCCAGAACTCTCACTCCCCTTTGCCCGGGGATCTAGGTGAGCCTTCCTTTGATGGGGTCCCCTTTCCCGCCGTCCTGAGTAGGCTGCATTCTCAGTGGGGAAGGACAGGTGTGGAATTATTACCCCTATCCCAGGTACTCTGGTTTAGACCTGGTTTCTGTACCTTCCCTCCAGCGTCTTGTTCCTCCAGCCTACTGCTTTTTAGTTTTCGTGCATTCCCTGACCCCTTTCCACATCTTCCTGGATCTTGCTTTCTTTCCCTAGGAAGTGCTCGCCAGCAAGGAGGCTTATATTTTGGAAGGAGATCTGGTGAAAAACTCCCTCAGGAATCAGCTCTTCCCAAACCCCCACTTGCCATGGAAATAGGGGCCCAGCCCCCCTCCCCTCCCTGCAACTCAACTCACAGTCCGTAGAGAGGAGAGCAGCGGGCAGCAGAGACCCCTGGAGGGGAGCGTCCATGCCCCTGACACGGCCCCACACCCGTCCCCTTGGAGGGTGAGAGCCACCGAGGACACGCTGTTTCTCCTAAATGTAGCGGCAGCTCTGACTAGGACTTGCTATCTGTGTCATACCCACTTCCCAGGCTCCCCTGCTCCTCTCCTGTTTCCACAGCAACCAGTCTGGCGACAGCTCTAGAGCATCCCCCTTCCCTCCCCAGTCCTGGGTACCACTAGAGGCTGAGCCACACGCCGTGGTTATTTTTAGCCAAAGTCCCTCCTCTTGGACAGCTCAGAGCTTTGCCTTCTCACCCCCTCAGGAAAGAAAAAGAAAAAGGAAAAAGCTGGCACGCTTGCTCTTTCCTCGGAAGATCCTTGCTCTGGGAAAACGCAGGCCCTGACGCGTTTGGGATAAGGTGTTTGATTTCCTGGGGACTCAAAGGGCCGTGTGGGAGCGGCAGCTCATCACTTCCAAGGGGGCCTCCTGCTGCTCTCAGGTCAGGCCGAGCATCACAGTCTATTTCTGGAGAGGCCCCCGTGATCCGAAAGAGAGAGTGAGAGGGAAAGAGCTCCACCAAGGAAGGGGAGCTGGGCCAGGGGCTCTAATCTTTGTTACTAAGTTGTGATGTGGCCCATAGGAGTCCCCTCCCTTCCCTGAGCCACAGCTGTTCCATCTCTCACAGGGTGTGGGCCTTTCCCTTGCTTCACAGGTGTCAGACCGAAGGAGGCAATATATACACAGGCCTTTGAAGTTAATTCTGTTAGAAAGTCTAGAAACAATTCAGATGTCCAACCTCGAGAAACGGCTAGGTTGGGGCTTACTAACTATTCATTCAGCAAACGTTTATGGAGTCCAAGTGCCAAGAAATGTGCTAGGTGGGGTTGGTTACAGAAATTAATGTCTCTACCTAGGACAGCTCCTGGTCCAAGGGGGAGTCCAAGGGGGAGACAGACACGTCCACGCATAATACTAACACTACTGCTAATCACTTGTTGAGCATCAGCTATGAAGTAGATAAGAACCCTGTGAGATACCCAATGAGGTATTATTTGCTTCATTTTTAAATGAAAAACTAAAAAGTAAAACTGAGAAAAGGTGAATGATTTACCACATGTCACAGAGTTTGGATAACGGCAGAGATGACAGTCAAACACACACCTGTGCCACCCCCTCCCATGCTATTCTCACAAAGTTACACTGCCTCAATAATATTGGTGGCATATCAATATAATTGGTTACTATTTTATATATGTAAATGTGCCTATAGGCACACTCTTACATAGAAAATTCTTATAAGTTGATCATAACTGTATAGAAATAGCTGTAAGAATACTGATTAAAACAAGGAAAGACTTTGGAGAAATAGAAATACCTCAATGTTCATTTTCTCCAGGGAAATAATTAAAAGCAGAGAGTGGTATACAAACACTGGGTGATGTTATTATTGATATTATTATTAATCTGTTCTCCAGATTCCTTTTTATTTATTTATTTATTTATTTAGATATATTTTATTGATTTTTTACAGAGAGGAAGGGAGAGGGATAGAGAGTTAGAAACATCAATGAGAGAGAAACATCGATCAGCTGCCTCCTGTACACCCCCCACTGGGGATGTGCCTGCAACCCAGGTACATGCCCTTGACCGGAATCAAACCTGGGACCCTTCAGTTCGCAGGCTGAGGCTCTATCCACTGAGCCAAACCGGTTACGGCTCCAGATTCCTTTTTTAAAAAAAATACTTTTTAAAATTGATTTCAGAGAGGAAGGAACAGGGAGAGAGAGATAGAAACATCAATGATGAGAGAGAATCATTGATTGGCTGCCTTCTGCATGCTCCATACAGGGGATTGAGCCCATAACCTGGGCATGTGCCCTGACCAGGAATCAAACCGTGACCTCCTGGTTCATAGGTCAACGTTCAACCACTGAGCCACGCCAGCTGGGCTATTCTTCAGATTTCAACAAGAAGAGCAGGAAGAGATAGAAATGGACACCAGGGGACTAAAAGTTCCTGGAGTGAACTGGCAAGATGGGGAAGATGATACTAAATAATATACTCTCTGGAGGCAGTGACTG